GGGAGGGGCGGGCTGTGCCCGGGTCCCGTGCCCGGCTCCGTTCCCGTGCCCCATCGAACCGAGACGCTGAGGCTGTTTCCTTCTTTATCTTCTGTGGGATGATGATAAACGGGCGATTGCTGATCTCGCGCCGTGGAGGCTAACGAAGACTCAAAGATTCGAAGTGCTTTCTCCAAGCATCGCGCTCGAGGCCACAAGGGGCTGCTCCGTGACGCCTACACGTGCCCCACGGCTGTATCCCAGCTCTGTGCGGGCCGGTGCTGCCCGCGCTGCTCAGCCTGAGCCGGAGGAGAACCCGGTGTCACTGGCACGTGGGTAGCTCCGAAGGCTTTGCCTCCTCTTTCTGCCGCCATTCCGTCAGACTGCCCCTCCGCTGCCGTCTGTCACACGGCAACAACACGCAACGGGATACTGGTGGAAAAGCTCAACCTCTGCTGCCGTCCCACCACCATCTGCCTCTGACACTATGGGCCGACACCATAAAATAGGAGGCGTTACTTTTGGAGCAGCCCTACATGTTGTCCGCTGATTCTTTGGCATAATGCAGCTGGGTTCATCTCTCCAACATGTGTTCAACTTTGGGTGCCCACAACATAACTGCTTAAATCTCCCTGTGGGTCTTCATAAATTCATGACAGCGCTGCAGAATTTATATTTCAGATTTCCTACTTGTGTTCATACATCCTCGTTAAAGGTGAACAAATGCAGGGACCGTGCAGGCATGCTGTGATAGCAGACAGGCAGGCAGGGCTTGTGCCTCTTGTTTTCCCAGCTCTCATTACCACGGAGAATTGCATTTTGCTCATGGTGATGTGAGCAACAATCTGCTGCACTGACACAAAAATTTGCATTTTTTGGAGCAATTCAACAACTTACATACCTGTATCTTAGGAAAACCTATGGTGCTGAGGCTCGAAAACTGAGAAAAGCCTAATTTGCTCCAGACCTCAGACCTGTGATTGTGGTTCAGTACAATGAGCTCTTCGGGCACTTGATCCAGAGGAAACAGTAGGGAGAGCTGTAAATGAGTCCCAATGAGATGCCGTCAGCAGCTTCATGGTGTGAGGCCATTGCAGCCCTCCAGGCAGCAGGCTGCTGAGCACACTGAGAGCAGCAGACAAACAAAAGTTTGTCAGCCAGAAGCTGAGGAATTTTCTGGGTGAACCCCTGGGACGTCATTGTCAGCTTCTGTTGTTTGGATTTGATCAAAAACAAGCAGACAGGAGAAAGCCTGCATGCTATCAGCCATCCCTGCAGCACCAGAAGGCCATTCCACTGTCAGTGACACAGCCTGTTTGGCAGCAGCGGGGTTTGGGATTTCACTTTTATTTGTTGGCAGTTTTGAAAAGCACAGGATTATCAGGGCCTCTGTGACATGCAGAAAAGCTCCTGCAGAGAAAACAACTTGTACCACTTTGATGTACACTTTGTGCCACTAATGACTGTTTAGGCCTGACAGCACCAGTGAGAAGTCTCCTCTGAAGTACCTGAGCTCTAACTCCCGCCTTCACCTGGCGCTGACTGCACTGTTGCATTCGCATCTAACGACAGTGCTGAAGGAGAAGATTTACACTAAAGCTCACAGTCTACAGAAATGCATCTCGAAGGAAGAAGGAGAGGTTGTGAGAGCAGTTAGGCTCCGTTTTCATAGAAGGGACTAAAGCACAGGGACAGTCACTTGGAAGGCCTGTGCCAATGTGGAGAAACAGATCTGCACCTCTTGGTGCCAAATCCACATGTGTTTAGGTTTCCCTGTCAGACTGTCTTTGTCCAGTGACCACCAACGCAGAGTCCTGGTCACTATTATGGTCAGTCGT